ATTTTTGTATTAAAGTTTTTTTAATTGATTGATGATTGATTCAATCAACTAATTTGTTGATTGTATTAACTTGATTCTTTAGATATTGAAAATTAAATAAATAACATTATGTTAATTTAAGCGTACAGAAACGTTGCTGTTGTTCCAGCAAAAATCTTATTTTCACTTTACCGAGTGCCTAGTAGGTAATTTGCAGATTACCTAGATAATCTGAACATTACCTAGGTAATTTAAGAACTGGAATAATTTTCGCAGCTTTAACAGATCACCCTAGTTAATCTGCAGATTAGCTAGGTAATGCGCACATTAACGGATTTCGAGCTTTAGCGGTAACATATACATCAAAAAGCATCACATTATAAAGGGCAGATAGGAATTAAAAATTTGTGTATTTTAACTTTTCTTTTACAAGGAACTTCCACGCCGAAGGATTTTAACTTGATATTCTGGTTCATTACATGACAAACATCAAAATGTAGTTTTTATCGTAAATATTTTCACAAGTGGAAACCAAAGCTTTCACAAACAAACGATAACTACGAGCAATTGTTTATTGTGACATGGTCACAATGCAAGGCTGCAATTCTTAATCATATTAGGGCCAGTCAAATGAAAACGAGACAGATGGATAAAAAGTAAGTAAACTGTTCATTATTTCAAAAGTAATCATCATAACTGTTAATACATTTAGCCCACTGTGAGACAAGACGGTCAATGCCTTCATAAAAAAATGTTTGCGGTTGCCAACGGAACCATGATTGTACCCAGGCGTGAGCCTTTTCGTCCAAAGCAAATTGACAATCACGAATGTCTTTCTTCGGGGCTCCAAAACTATGGAAATCGCATGGGGAGAAATCGGGACTGTATGGAGAATGTGTAAGGGCTTCCCAGCGAAAATTCTGCAGCGTAGTCGAAACAACCTTGGTAACATGTGGGCAGGCATTATCTTGCAACAGAATAATGCTGTCTGTCAACATTCCTGAACGTTTAAATTTGATGGCATGCTTCAATTTTTTCAAAGTTTAAATGTACCGCTGTGCGTTAATTGTGGGGCTGTGTTTCAGAAAGTCAGCTAGCAGCGGGCCTCCATAGTGATGTCAGACACACACACGACTCACCGACCTCAATTCAAGCACGTCTAACAGACAAATGGCACAGCGGTGAACGTTCACGCTGTTCCTTCCTGATTCTCAATTGAGGGCAGTTCTATACACACACCTACCTGCATTACCAAATTCCGTGCCACACTNTGAGTGCGAGAATTCGAGTAAAGGTTAAACGGTGTATATCTTCGTGTACAGTGGTGTTATGTCCGTGCGTGTGTGTGTATGTGTGTGATCGAAGAACATCTTCGGCATGTCTATAAACAGAAAACAGTAAATTACGATACGAGAATAAGATGTGTTAAGAAATAAAACGAAAGAGTTCTTACCATCGGAAAATATTCACTTGTACGGTAAATGGCCACTTGGTCCTCTTCGTAATAAAGTTGGGGAGAGAGATCTTCTGCATTTACATGGTGCAGAATGTCCGCCGTGGAGAGGTAAAAGACGATCTTTTTAAATTCTACGAATCAAGGCTTGATCATCTCCGAAATTCGTTCGAATAAATATCTTTTTCGTCCATTTTCGACCATGGCATGAAATAAATCAAATTCTTAGGATTTCGCCCAATATTATTTCGCTTTTCGGAAAGATTCCTCGGTCGCCGTCGGGGTTGCGGGTTTCGCGTATTAATGTAACATCAAACTAAATAAAGTTAATTTTAAAAATACCGAAAAACCTTAATAATAGAGCAGAACGAAAACCAACACAGAGCCGGTAAGAAGTCATTATTCAATTTCTGGTTTTTTAAAGAATCTCTCCTATAAATTCTTAATTTGATGGGTTAATTAATTCGACACTTTTGTTCGACTTGGTCTAACTTTGAAACTTTCGCTCGTATCTCACGCCATGATATATTCTTTTTCGGAGACTAAGAATTTTTCTTTATGTCTTCATTGCTTACAACGTGAAAATTTTGTTTTCGAAGGAATGCTACATTTATTTTCAAATTTTCTCATTTCAGAGTCAGAGCTGGATTTTTCCGATTGGCATTCTGAACTTTCCTATCTGTGATAATTTTGAAAAAATTGTAGACCTATTAATTCGCACTGTCTTAATCTCGAGACGTAGTTAGATGAAATGCGAGCCCAGATATGGAAACTTTAGGGACAGGAGGACTCAATTAACTACAGTAGAGCGTCGTTTATCCGAATCAATTGGGTACTGGGGTGGTTCGGATAACTTATTTTTCGGATAACGAATCATGTACGAAAAAATATATTAATTTATCCCATGTTGAAATTTCTCTCCGTTGCGTGTCGCTTCGCGTTGAATTTTCGTCGATGTTAAGCCTAACGAATACTATTGTATCGTTAAAAATTATTTTTTTATTTTGTACAAACAAAATAAATTTATTGAAAAATATAAAAACAATAAAAAATTATACTTCAGATGTTAATTTAGTATCAAAAACGTAAAATATTTGAGTAGCCCGAGAAATAGCCGAAGATTGCAGCGCCACAGCACTAGCGAAAATTTAAATTTGCCGACTGGAATGCTTTCGGATAACGGACGTTTCGGATAACCAGCTTTCGGATAAACGACGCTCTACTGTATATATGAACTTTCGATGCAAATCGGAAGTCAAGTTAATTCAATTCAAATCCCCCTGCTCTAAAGCAGTTAATAGATGCTAACGGAAAAATATGATGTACAGGGGCAAAAGTGCGTGAGTGCGAAAATTCGAGTAAAGGTTTAACGGTGTATATCTTCGTGTATAGTGATGTTGTGTCTGTGCGCGTGTGTGTATGTGTGTGATCGAAGAACATCTTCGGCATGTCTATAAACAGAAAAACAGTAAATTACGATACGAGAATAAGATGTGTTAAAAAATGTAATGACGTGTTTCGTTTTGGAAAGGTGTGTGTGTGTTTTTTTTTTCGTGAAACAAATACTTCATTACAATAATTTGTAGACATATAATAATACTGAAGAATTACAAAAGCCCTTTTTTTGTCAGGTTTGGTCATAGCAAAAATTTACAAAGGGACTAATAGGGATTAAAGCACAAAAATTGAAATTATTATCATAAATTTTTAATACTTTTTCATTAACAATGAGCACTTATCATATAGTAAAAAATAGTTAATATTAATAATATAATAAAACGATAAATTATAATATTATTTGTGTTAACAAAAAATGGGGCCCCATTAGACTTCAATAAGTCCTAGGCCCCAAAAAAACCTAGATCCACTTTTGCTCATAAAGATCAAATTTCACTTAAAATATTCAAAATTTTTTAGATGACATCCGTCCACCAAACCCTCTCGGTAAGACTATCCCACGATTAATTAAGAGTCCCCCTACTATTGTTGATCTAGTTACATTTTTTAAATATACTTTTATCTTTAAAGACGTGAATTTTAAACATTTAAAGATGCAGCAATATTCAAGTGCTACTTAATTTCATTTTATATAAATATTTTTATTATAAAAACGATTTAAAAAGTCATATTGAATCGGAAAAAATATACCTTAATATTTTCAAAATTGTAATTTTAATGAAGTCACAATAAAGTCTAATATGTTTGCTGTTTGCTAAAACAAAAACAATATATATATAATAACAATAATACTTTTATATTTATAGGTTTATACTTATATATTGTTTCATATATATGTTGCTATATAAATGAAACAATATAAACCTATATAAATATAAAAATATTATTATTATTATATATAACAAATAAGCTACTAATCCCTACATTGATGTCATACATTAGTTATATCTTGAACAAGACTTTTTAAATTAATAATTACTGTATTCTATTTTTCAAGTAGAAGTGACGTTAATTTACGTTCTTAAAGCCCAGTTTGTTAGTCTAAGTGCGGGCACATTTATCTTAAAAAATTATCTTTGAAAAATAAATAAAAACATTAACTAAATCCCTAATCGTTCTTAATTAACTTAATTTTGGATCAAACGTGACGGATGCGTTTCACTGTATATTTAGGCGCTTTAAGTCGGCCCTGTATTATTATTTTTTTTTTAACCTAGTTTAGTTTATTCTGGGTTGATTTTTAAAATTTAAAATTTACGAAATAAAATTTTCCAACATGTAATTGTACTAATTGTTCTTTATTTGAAAAATAATCCAAATTAATTTAACCGCTAAACAGTAGATAAATTTCCGAGAGAGGGCGTAATAATGAAGAGGAGGAGCAAAAGCGAAGTCAATGTGGTTTATTTTGGAGAAAAGTTGTTTACTAAATTATTCGCCACAAATATTTGAAATGCTATTAGAAGTAGCAATGCACAGAACTGATTAATCAGCTTCTAAGTGAGTATGATTATTACAAAAATTTATATTTTAAAGCAAAAGGATACAGTATTTATTTTTAAAAGATTTATTTCAACAAACTCCATTACTTTGCAATTCAGCAATTATTTTAACTCTATGATATTTGTAGTATTGAAATGGGTATGAAATGCATTTAGGTATTTATTCATTACATATAATCACAGAACTAAAAGTGATGTGCTCAATTATAAAAGAACCGGGTTATTTTGAAACTTTTTTACAATATTTTAATAAATTTTACATTATATACAGTATTTGATAAATTATTAATGTATGACTCAATTTATATAAATTTATATTCCTTTATACATGCTCTCAATTTTCCTGGAAAACAAATGTTAAGTGGTAGAGTGTTCAAATTTATATGTAATGAACTATATGAATGGCTGCGTTCAGCAGACTCAACAGTTCTGGAGCTGTTGTGTATTTTTCTGTCAAAACCCTCTACAGTAGTGCTCTTCAGAACATATTTGGTGTTTTGATGTCATGTTTGGTAGCGTCTTTCATTTATGCTACCTATTGCTAATGTGAAGACCACCATTCCCCCCACCGAAATTTGTTGTTACTATATATATATGTGTGTGTGTGTATGTATTTGTGAATTTGTTATTTACGTATTTACGTTATCTGTAATAATCTTAGTTTAGCCACTTTGTTGTCACTTTAATTAATTAGTTAGAGATTTTATTGTATTTAAACATTGTAATTATTTTATATCCTTTTTCTTTTGAACCCACATCTTGAAGATACCGAGATTGTTTATACATGGATCAAAGTGTAAGAGAAATTTGTTTATTTTTCCGATTCTAGGGACTTCCCTAATGATTTAGAGAAACAATTTAGAATATTAATTAATGGCAATAAATCTCACAACATGTGAGGAAAAGGATGAGAGGACAATTAAATAAATAAATAAATTTGTAAGAGAATAAAACTTAAATAAAGTGGAAAAACACCACTTCATGCCCCCCTTGATCATAGCGGAGATTGAACATCGTTTCAAGGCACAACAGTAACGAAAACAATCAATGAATAATGATGGGATTTGTCAATGAAAACAGTTTTGCTTCTGTAATGACTCAGCTCAAAAGTCAAACCAATACGATAGTAAGCCATATCATAACTCTCCTGCCCTGAAAAGCGTATAAAAGAGGCACAAATCCAGACACAGACAGAGCTCCTCGGCAGACAAGGTAGAAAGCACCAGCCTCTCCAGACTCTCAAAGAACCATCCCATACAAAGAAGGCATCAACGGCAGACATCAGCAGTAGACATAAGTGGACCCATCCCGCCATAATCACAAGGAAATTTCGTCTAGAAGCGAATGCCATTTACCGGCAGACATCAGTGAAGGACCAAGCAAAGGGGAAGAAAGAACTAGATCAGGAGACTGACTGGACTTACAAGAGAAGACGGCTCTCTTTTTCCTGGTGTGTTGTAGTTCGGATACCACCCTGTTAGGCGGCCCCCTCGTTTTATAGATAGAAATAGGCAGATTTCTTGAGTCGGATTTTAAGAATGTTATCCAGAACTTAATTTTTGATAATAATAAACTCTTGTTATTTGTATTTGACTTTGCATTCATCCTCCTGAGAGGCTCATTCCCGGACTTCAGAGTGACTCTTACCCTCGCACCTTAACTATCGGGTTTTGACTGAATCGGTGGTGTGTCCGACAAAACACACCTGGTGGCAGGACCCTACCCTAATCTAACATAAACTAACTTTTGACGGCCCCTGGTCCCCACACTACCTGAAACTGACCAATGAGGCTGTTTGTCCCAATGCAATGTCACTGTCGTTCAGCAGATCCAGGTTGCTATGTAACAGCTACCAATTTGCTCAGTTACAACTGTTAAGTCTGCTGAATGCAGCCAATGTGTTGTTTACCACAAAGCTTAAAAACATCTTTACAAATAAAATATACAAATTAGTTTAAAGAAGGAATAAAGAATGCTAGTATTTCTTATATGTCTTGATATAAATTTGTAATATAAACAAACAACTAATATGTATTCGAAGAAGCTGTAATTAATACTTAATTTACCCATATAGATCTATTGATTCTCTTCTGTTACAATCAGAATCTGGAAAATCTAAATTCCATATTTTTAGTAATTTGCATTCTACAAATCAAACAATGTACCAAACATTTTACCTCTGTCAATATTGTTCAATACAATCTCTATAAAATTACTGGTATAAATTAATATAAATAACCTCAACTAGATGTAGGTACCAATAAAGTAAAATAAAAGAAACCAGCAAAAATAAAAGAAATAAAACAAAAACGAATGTTTTCTTCCTTTAAACAGTCATCTTCCAACCATATTATTGAAATATATTTTATCACTTTATTATTTGAAGATCTGATCAGAAGTACAATTTTTAAAAATTTAATGAAAAATAACAGGAAAATATAAACCATCAAATCAAAAATAAGTTTTCTAATTATTAATATTATCATCATTACCATTAAGATCAAAGTGAAATCTCTGAAGAAGTCCAAATTTGTTTATGCTAAATCAAAATGCCTAATGAAAATTTGGAAAATAGAAATGTGCATCATTTAGCACATAGATCACAAGAACAAATTATTTCTGCGTTAGGACAAGATGCTATTTCGGAATATAATCTTTTTATTTTTTGTATTTGTTTTTCAGGAAAATGTTCTGAAATATTCAATAGTATGTGGCTGCTTTTATATCATCTTTAATTTTGCATATAGTATTATCATTACTATATGCTAGATCCCAACGTTTTAATATTTTCATTGCAAGACTTTGTAGTTTGTACGGAACTTTCTTCTCCAGTTGAAGTTTGAATTGTAACTTCTGAAGTCAAAACAATTTCATTGCTAGAATTAATTTGTAACCAAGAAAACAGATCTTGTGATTTCTTGAAATTTAGCTTTTCTATTTTTTCTTTTCTACTTTATGTTCAAACTGTGTATACGCTGCTTTAACCAAATCTATTTTGGCTTTCCAATGAGTGTCGCATAATGGTTTAAGAGTAATGTTTAAATGCTTTTGTAGAATTTCCCATCTTTTTGTAGATGCAGAAAATAAACAATATAAATGTTGCAATATCCCAAAAAATTTTTTACAATATATACTGCTGGAAGCAGCATCACAAATTAATAAATTAAAAGAGTGTGATAGGCAAGGCACATATATTGCATTAGGGTTTAGAGCAGGGGTGTCCAACCTGTGGCCTGTGGGCTGCATGCAGCCCAAGGGAAGTTCGAATGCGGCCCAATAAACGACAATTTTTAAAATTATTTATTTATTTATTTATTTCAACGGCATAAACTCAAAAAAGAAGTTTCACAAAGTTGTAAACCTTTATACATATTTTATTTTTGAGTGGAAAAGATATATTTTCAAATACTTAGAAATGTATGAATGAGGAAGGTATATATACCTAAATAAAGCTGGAGTTGGCTCTCAAAGGAGTATAGACTCAAATTCAGGGAAAAGGAGAAAAAGATCTAAAGATAAAAAGTAATGAGAAAGGTTAAATAGACCTCCTGTTATGCAATATGGACCCTTAATTTTCCAACCTTCCTCACTTCTTTATCTTTTGTCCTCTTTCTCCTTTTCCCGCATTTGGATCTATAATCCTTTGAGTCTCAACTCCAGCTTTATTTAGTATTTCTTCCAGCGTTGCAAGATTCGGCTACTTTGCGCCAAATTTGGCTACCCTTTTATTAGTTTGATGTAAAAAATATCAGTTGGCACATTGGCTACTTTTTGGGCTACATATTATTTATAAATATATTAGTTGAATAAAAATGCACTTTAAAATGGTGTTTTGTCATTTTTTAATAATTGGAGACCCAAATAAAACAAATATTTGTGTTTTTCAAATAAATTTTTGTTTGTCTCCATTATAATAAATGAATTTATCTATTTATAAGTAAAAATTGAAAGTGTCTATAAAAGTAATTTTTAAAAATACAGTATTCTTTTTGTGGTAAACTTTTAATACTTATTACTATAATCTAAACATGTTAAATATACTTGTATATTTAAGGATTGGGTCAAAATATACTTGTGGCCCAAAACTCCATGACTTCTTCCAATGTGAACCAGAGAAACAAAACAGTTGGACACCCCTGGTTTAGAGCAATTATTCTAGATTGTACACCTTTATATTTCCTTTTCATGTTGCTACTGTTGTCATATCCCTGCCCTCTACAATTCATAATATCTAAATCAAGCTCACTTAATGTTTTCAATAGAGTTTTTGCTAGTCTTTTTCCATTTACATCAGTTACTTCAATAAACCCTATAAATGACTCATTTATAGTTAATCTTTTCTCTTCAAAATTTACATACCTAATAATGATTGAAGTTTGTTCCTTATGGGAAATATCAGGAGTACAATCCATGTGGATACTATAGTATGTGGCTGTTTTTATATCATCTTTAATTTTGTTAAGGACTTCATCTCCTAACTCAAATAATTTGTTCTTGTGCATCATTTAGCACATAGATCACATTTCTATTTTTCGAATTTTTTATTCTGTTTATATGATCCATTAGTGCAGAGTCGTATTTACTTAATAATTTGATTAAACTTAAAAAATTTTCATTATTAAGCATTCCTATTATTTCATGGGTTCCTGAAAGTGGAAGATTATTACATGCTAAAAATAGAATCACATCTACAGTTCTTTGAAATATAAGTTGTTCCATTTCCTTATTTATATTAACTTGATTAGTTTTATCAATAGTCGAACATAAATTTAGTCATTTTAGTAATTCTTTCCAAGCAATAAACGAATTAAAGTGACAAGTAGAATGCTCATGATCTTAAATTACAGTTGACAGCTTTCTCCAGTTATTATAGCCACTATACAGTAAACTATTTCATAGCAGAAATGCTGAATTTGGTACATAGACTTGGGAGAGAACAAATTTGAAAGCAGTAAAACTGACTAGCTTCTAGGTAGATGCAAACAACTTCTATTTTCA